AGAAACAAACCCAACAAATTTCCTAAAATTCCTAATTGTCAACATTGATTATGACCAGAAGATTATAAAATTAATGAAGACATTGTGTGCATAAATGACTCAGTACAAGGGCTGGGAGATGGGTGTGGCTTCTGAAAAGGTTACACGCTCCTAGCTTCTCCCAATCTCATTAACGCTCCAGCACTATTAGACACCTTGATGATAAGGATATTAGCCAAAATTTATGATCATAAAATCCTAACAAAACCTTTTATTAAAAAAACTAGGAAGAGCATATACTAAAAACTTCTCCATTAATAATACAATGATAATAAGGACAACTTAAATGTTGGCTTAAATTCAGAAGTACAAATGAACTGCGGAATCTTTTAATTCGACATATTAATTGAATTCAGATAAAAAACTTACTAAACAGTCTTACAAACTTCCAGCATTGTTTTAAAGAGATATGAGTCAATACTAACATGCTAATATATTTCTAGATTCATAACCTTACCTTGACACAATCTTTGTCCCTTGACCAGATCGAAGTGCCGCATATATGAAGAAGCCATCATCCTTGGTCCTACAAAAAGAAAGCCATAGCAGCTTGAAGTAGTTCCCTATATTTGTGTGTGTGTGTGTGTGTGTGTGTGTGTGTGTGTGTGTGTGTGTGTGTGTGTGCGTGTGTGTGTGCGTGTGTGTGTGCGTGTGCGTGTGCGTGTGCGGTGTGCCGTGTGCTTGTGTGCGTGTGCGTGTGCGTGTGCGTTGTGATAATGATAAAAAAACTATAGATCTGTATATTCACTCTGCATACTGGTATACTGACTTGTTCAATTTATAGATGTCACCAAACAAGTAATCATACTGCAATAAATATTCCAATACATTATAATTCTATGCATTTACAACTTCAGTATAGGCTTAAAAATCTGTGCACCAAAAGTTTATTCAACTTACAGGTTATCAAGGGTGTATACATCTGCCATCTTTTTTTACAGCATTAAAATCAACTTCAGACCATTCCCTCATGTGTTCCTGCCAATGACCAATATGCGACCATTCTTGGCTCTGGTGCATAACTTTTCCACAACATGCTTCAACTAGAATGATATAAAACACAATTACATATTTTTCAATCTGTTTATGAATAAAAGAGCTTATACTTCACAGGTGAATTTAATAAAATGCAAGTTATGTACTTTCAAAATACTGAGAGGAGGGAGAGAGAGAGAGAGAAAAAAAAAAATTGTCACTCTTACCATAACAGATCGCTGACTAAGAGGTTTCTTTCCTGCAAGGTATGATACATTTAGGCCATCGACTACGACAGAAAATGGCCCTCTTTCTTCTAAAAATGTCTGGAACTTGTGCCATTCTTCAGGGCTACTTGAACGAAATATATCTGATCCATGAAGAACACGTGGCACATATTCATTCTGTTAGAAAATGAATGGTAGATCAAATCTTCTATGTGGAACATAAAAATTTTGTCTTCATAATAGCAATAATTTACATATACCTCTCACATACCTCAATAATTCAAAATGCTCTGTGTTGAACATGGTTCATATCAAATAAAATTTAAAATCAAACTATAGTTGCTAGGAGGAATAGACATATATAGTGTGAGGAAATATGCATGCTTATGCAATTCTGTTCTGCTAAGGTATGTGGTTTTTGTGTTGCAGCAGTATCATATGTCATTTATGCTTAAATGGTTATGTATATGTTTTGGGTACAAGTATCAGTTGTTAAGTTTGATTTCAAATACTATATATTTAATGTTTCAACTGAATCATTTTATCAAATCCATAGGTGTTTATGAGTCTCAATCAGCTAGACTTAAGCTGGTATTTTGTAAAATATGTATATTGTGTTGTGTTAGCACAATACTCCAGTGTTCTTAAGCCATGCATATAGTTGTGTGAATTCCATACTCAAGGAAATTTAATGTGTGGAGTGCTCTGTACATATGATCAGGGTGAGTTTTGAGCTTGCAATTATAGATAGAAAGAATCCAAGACAACTAGCGGATATGGCCAATAGAAGTAGCTGTTGTAGAGTTTGGTTGAGACAGACTGGTGATTATTGATGTACTGGTCAAATCAGCAAAATTTACAGAAATATATATTCACTCAAATCAAACACCTAAACACACACATGTATGCATGCACTAACATAGACACACATACCACAGTCCCACACCCACATCCACACACATTATCATAAATTGAAATAATCACCTGCAACTCTTGAAATTCTGCTTCACTAATGTCGAGCTGATGTAACTGCTGGTTGCAGGCAGGGCATTTTCCACTTCAAATATAATTTCATTTGGAATTATCATTCAAATCAATCATCATTCTATATATTTAAACATGATTTAGCAGATAAAAGTGAGACAATATCACACCAAACAAACAAAATATGCTGACCTTTTGGACATTTTCACATACAAGTTTGACCACCCCAGACCTTTGCTAAAAAGGTTAGCAATACTCTCAATAACTGGCACTTTGGGGAAGATCTCATAGAGAATCAACTTGTCTAACAATGTCACCATCATTGATTGCTTTTCCTCAACACCCTCTGCCTTTTCACACTGGGTAATCCACTCCAACAATGTGGAATCAGCAGGCATCTGGAAAAAAAATCATTACCTAATAACAAAAAGACATACAAACATATAAAAAAAACACACAGAACATTTACAAAGATTCATTTTTTTTCTTTTCAATCAGCTGTAAATTTAACAGCTACTAACAATGATGAAATGACTGATGATTAAGACAATTGTCATAACAATGATATGCCAAATAAAGAGACACATAACTGCCTCCCAAGAGCAGCATCAAAAATAGGTGGACATGACTAGCTCATTTCCTCATATCATGTTTCCTTTTAGAGTGTGGGTTGGTTCATTATATTTTCTTTATATTTTACAGTTCTGTTTACTAAAATATAAGTCCCATAAATATCACAATCTACTATGTATTAAGTTTAAATAAATGAAGTGTAACTACTAATAATAATAACAATAGAAAAGAAGGGTTAGAATGTCTATGCAGTTTTAAAATACAACTATCAACTAAAATGATAATAATGTTACTAACCACTATGACAACCACTGATCATGAAAATGATAACAGATGATGAAGATAACACTCAGAACAAAGATGACTGATACAGATCATCATAATGATAACAATGATCAATACTAACCACTGAAATCTCACTTGACTATCACCTAAGATCAAGAAATGGTTAATGGTTAATGGTTAAAAGCAAGATAAATGTGCTAGACATCTAAGGTCATGTAGCACTATAGTTAATGTTAGTGAAGGGTGGTTGAGTTAGTGATTAGTTGTCTAAGCTGGGCAAAGGAATTAGTGAGTGAAAGGGTTAAGGTCGGGTGTTATATTAGATAAAGGGTATGCATAAGAAAGGTTTCTTGAAGGCATACAATAGATGGGTTATAAGAGGAAAGGATATGATGGTCAGGTCTGTGGGAGCGGAAACCGCGAATATTCCAATGAAGGATAGTTATACTTTCGTTGATTTAGTGATATAGATTGTAGTACGTGTTGGAGAATTTGAAGGGGAAGTAGCTAGAGGGTGGGATAAGGACTGAGAGGTTTGAGATGGGAGAGGTGTGGGAGTTGGTGTTCTATCAGGAGGGGTATTAGGAGATGGAGGGTCTGAGGAAGGGGATACTTGTGACATAAGGGATTCACGTGTGTATCCAGGAGGGAGTGGAAGGGATAGAGGGGATGGTGGGAGAGTTAATGTGGGCAGGGTCAGGGGGGATGGGCTGTGTTGGGAGGGGGTAGGAGGGTAGGGTGTAGGGGGGATATCGTTAGGAGGAGGATGGATATCAGCAATTACTTGGAGTGTGGAAGGAGCAGGAGTTGTAGGTTGAGTGTCGGTTTTCATTAAGTAATCTTGAATATTTTCAATAGTTTCTTCTGTGGAGTTGGTTGGGGAGTTTTGGGGGATAAAGGATTTCTTGTGAGGGGGGGAAGAGAGGACTGGTGTCTCAAGAGTACGGGCAAAGGATGGTGGGGGTGATTGTGTGGTAGGGGAAGAGGGGGTGGAACGTTTGTTCTGTCTGTTACGGGGAGTGCGAGGAGGGAGAGGGGAAGGTGTTGGGGTTGTAGTGGTGATTGGAGTATCTGTAGTAGAGATTGGAGTTTCTGGATTTAGGATGGCAAAAGAGTTTGACTGGGGAAGGTAGGTGGGGTTAGTGGGGGGGTTAGATGTAGGAGGGGTGGGTTTAGGAGAAGTGTTAGGATGAGCAGTATTACTGGAGTAAGGAGTAAGAGAGAATCCACGTCGACGTGCTTCCTGTCTGGCTTCACGCAGTGTGAGTCCGAGTTTGAATCTGAGAGTTGCTACCTCAGATTCAAATTTGTAGGTGGGACAGCCCCTATAAAATACATTATGGGGGCCGCCACAGTTGGCACATGTGCGTGATTGTGCAGAGCAGTTAGATCGGGTATGGCCAGGTTGGGCACATAATGGGCATCTGGCTGTGGAACGGCAGTGTTTGGCTGGGTGTCCTAGACGCCAACAATTTTGGCACTGACGTGGAGGAGGTTGGTATGGACGAACAGGGAGGGATTCTCCTCCTATGTAGACGTTAAAGGGAAGGTCATGTCTACGGAAGGTAATTTTGGCTATGTTAGTGGGTTTCTTTCGATGACCTCTGGGGGGGATGGAATAGCATTGTACTGATGTTGCATCGTAGTCTGTGAGACAGGCAAGTAGATCTTCTCCACAATCTGACCATTCTTTGTCATAGATTGGGCAATTTGTTGGTGAGATTGAGACTGTTCCGGTGCAAGTATTGAGGGTTGGATGGGGTTCTGCTAGGATGGGGTTACCATATAGGTCAGTTAGTTTTGTTAGTGCTATGGCTTGGTTTTCGGATGTTACTGTTACAAGACGGGAGCGGTCGGGTCGGCTACGGAAAGAGACTTTACCTACTTGTTTTTGGAGGCATTGTTGGAAGAGAAGGGTGTTGTTAGAGTAGGGAGCTGTGGGAGGGATCACGAAAAATCGGTCCCATTTGGCTGCACTGAAGAGAGTATTCAAGATTGTTTTAGAGATAGGGGTGGTAGAAGGGCGAGGGCGTGACGAAGATGGAGTAGTGTTGATGGAGGTAGTGTTATGGAGAGGTGGGCTATAAGGCTGTAAGGTATTAATAAGGGAGGATGGGGTGGTTGATGTGGAGGTTGTGGGGGTAGAGGTGTTGAAGTTGGGCATGCTGGGAGAGTGGAAATGTCCCTTGAGGGTTGATTGTTGGCTACTGTACTAGTAGGCATTGGTGAAGGGGTAGTTATTGCAGTGTTTGGAGCCATGGTCAAAGGAGAGCCTGGGGTCGGGGAATCGGGTGGGTTTACTTCGTTGGGGCTATTTGATAAAGGGGCAAGCCTCATTGCCCCTAACAGTGGGGATATATTTTCATTACTGGCCATGGGAAGCCTGGATTATGTTGGGGATAAAAGCAGTCCACCCCTCAGGGTCCCCTTGAGGGGTAAGGGCTAGATAACTAAATCAGGGGAATACCGTGCCCATGGCTCCCTCAGGCCGTTCAGGACTGGCACAAAGTCAGCCTTTCATCCTTTCAGCACGGCTCTCACACCTTAGGAGGTGGATAGCAGAAGGGTTTGGTGAAGGGACAGAAACAAAAGTGGGAAGGGAAAAAAAAGACCATGCATAATTAGTTGAGTCGAGGGCTGAGTCCCAAGGTTGGGGAGTTCCCCATCATTGGGTCCCAGTCTCCGCCTCCTAAGCCCCCCCACGACAACAACGGGCAAGGGATTGGGGGGGCTAAGATCAAGAAAAAAATAACTATATATGATAACCAAAATGACAGAAAATAACAACCAAATGCCCAAAAACAAAGAAAAATAAAAAAGGGTCAACAATATCTGACCACTGAATGTCTCTTGGCCCACAGCTTCCACTCAAGAGCTTTCCTCACTCACCTTCTCTTCCTGGCACATGGTCTCCAGGTAGCGCCAGCCCGTGTCATAGTCTCCGTTCCTAAAAGTTGCTGTAATAATTGAGCTATAGACCTTTGTGCTAACGTTGCACATCCTCCTGATGTTAGCGATGTGTTTGAGGGCCAGCTTCCACTGACTTGTCGAGGTTAGTGCCAGAATTACACTCTCACTGAGGTTCGCATCGAGTACCTAGAGGGACCGCAAGGTATTGTGAAAGTAACCAGACAGAAAGTGTACAGTAGTGGAAAACGGTAACTAACATAAAAATGAAAATATTCATCTAAAATCATAATAATTCATCATACTAACAAATATGTGAATGATATTGACATAAGTTCACAGAAAATGACACAGACTGAAAATACTTGTCTCATTCCAGGAAATGAACAACATACTAACTGGATAGATAAGATGATAAATATAACAATAACAATTTAAAAAAAGAAGAAAAAAAAATTAGAAAAGAAAAACAATAATAATGGTAAGTACTACATACTAATTGATATATCAAGATAAAATAATAGCATAAAATAACAGGAAAAATAAAAGACACAAACAGGAAAATGATAAAGCAGTTGTTGAAAGAAGATATAGGATAAATAAAATAATCAATAAAGCTAATGCTATAACAATAATGACAATAACAATAAAGATGATAATATTTTGAAGAAAAACACTATACTATCAATAATGATGATAATGCTTAATAATTGTGATGATAATGAAACATTGATATCAGTTACAATAACAACAAAAACAATAACAAAAACAACAACTACAACAACAGCAATAATAACCATAAAAATAATGATAAGTACAATAACAACAATAATAATATCAAAAACAGTTTATTATACTATCTATAAAATAATATCATATCATCTATAAAAGTAATATAATTATATTACTTTATATAAAAAACAATGACTAAACTGATAAAAATAATGTAAAATAATGATAATTTCACCAACAATATCAACACTGGTAATCATGATATAAAGGGACAATAAAAATAATGAGGAATAATAATAATAATAATAATAATAATAATAATAATAATAATAATAATAATAATAATAACAATAATAATATTAATAATATAATAATAATAATAGTGATAATAATAATAACAATAACAATAATAACAATAATAATAATAATAACAATAATAACTAATAATAATAATAATAATATTAATAATTATTAAAACAATAACAATACTAGCACTAACAACAATAATAATAACAACAACAATAATAATAATAAAAAAACTACTACTACTAATAACAACAGTAACAACAATAATAATAATTACTATCATTATTATAACTATAATGATGTTAATAATAATAATTATAATAATAATAATAATAATAATAATAATGATAATAATAACAACAACAATAATCATCATAATAAAAAAATAGTAATAATAATAATAGGTAATAGCAATATAATACTAAAATCATGACAATAATAATAATAAAAAAACTACTACTACTAATAACAACAGTAACAACAATAATAATAATTACTATCATTATTATAACTATAATGATGTTAATAATAATAATAATAATAATAATAATAATGATAATAATAACAACAACAATAATCATCATAATAAAAAAATAGTAATAATAATAATAGGTAATAGCAATATAATACTAAAATCATGACACTGATAGCAATAATGATAGTAATTCCAATAATGACAATAAAACAATAACAAAATAAATAAATAAAAAATAATGAAAAATATAATAATAATAATAATAATAAAATTATTTGATAATAACAACAACCTAATTGTAAAGAAAACTATATCACAACAATAATAACAATAATAATAATAATATAAATAATAATAATAATATAAATAATAATAATAATAACAATAATAATAATAAAATAATAATAACAACAACAACAATAATAATAATAATAATAGCAACAACAACAACAACAATAACAATATCAATAATAATAATGATAATGATAATAATAGTAACAATAATAACAATAATAATAATAATAATAATAATAATAATAATAATAATAGTAATGATAATAATAATAACAACAACAATAATAATAATAATAATAATAGTAATACCAAAAATAACAACAACAATAATGGAGATAACAATAATAATAGTAATAATAATAACTGAAAATAATAATAATAATAATATTACTAATGAATAATAAGTTATCAAGATAATGGAAATGACAATGATATATATCTCAAACATAATTTACAAAGAAATAATAATAATCAAAAAGAAAGAAAGATAAAACAATACATCATTTACACTGTGAGGACGACAATGGTTAGTAATGATTCCTATCAAAATCTATCATCACTATTATTCTTAATCATAAAAATATATAACATAATTCTAATAACTGAAGCTATATTTTTCTAAGACACCTGCAACAGTTTTTAAAACATGACCTTTTTCTTAAGATTTTATTGACTGTATTTTATCCAAATTCACAGGAAACTTATGTGATATACAGCACACAATATAATTTTCAAATAAGGCATCAGTTCAAGTTCCATCTTGCCCAAATACACAAAAAGATATTTTTTGGCTGGTGTATGAACATAAAAACTAAAGCACTGACTTAAAACTGCGCCACTATATACATTTAAGTGAATTTCGATAAATGTAATCGCAAGACAAAAGTTCTATTCTGAAAGCATTGCAGGTGTCTTCTAAACATTTATTGTATTTCCTTTTGATACTGAGAAATCAGTTCAGCTCTTAAAAGTTAACAGCACTAGACAACACAACTCACTTTGGCTTTCCTAAGAAGTTGATAGTAGAGCTCTAGTACTTTGTCTTCTCCACAGTCCACAACTCTCTGCCCACACAAACGTAGATAGAGGGAGAGAGTTGCCAAGTTTGGCTCTTTACCCTGATTCTCCAGGTATTGTATGTATGAAGCTGCTAGAAAATAGTTAGAGGCTTGCAAACATCGCTTCATCACCAATGCATCACAGCTGACCTTGCTAAATCCTGGCTCCCCCTGAGACATGAGGAGGATCACCTCTTCCCATTCTTTGTCTGTCTTTTCTCTCTGGGCAAACATACTAGTGAGAATTTGGGTTTTATCATCACCTTCCCATTTGCTTTTAACATTTGGAGATTTTTCAATAGCCGCTGTGTTGCATAAGTATCTTTGCACCAGTTTCTTTTCATATCTTACACTTTTACAGTTTGGCAAGGTTGTCAAGGATCGTATCTGATCTGAAACTCCACTGCAAGCAAATGGATGGAGTTTTTTCTTTATGAAAACACTACTCATTGTTTTCCATGGTATTTGTCCAAATTCCTTGTAACAGTAATGGTTCTGCAATAATACTACTGGTCTGAGCAGTGCCATCTGTAAAAGAGAAATTTAGTCTTTATATATGTTTCTGCCATTAAATTTTTTAGTATATACATATATAAACAAATATAGTTTATATATATGTATACATACACAGATACATATCTATCTACCTATCTATCTATATATTTTATGTATATATTATATAAATTATACATATACATTATATATATATATATATATATATATATATATATATATATATATATATATATATATATATATATATATGTAAATAAGTATATATATATATATATATATATATATATATATATATATATATATATATATATATATATATATATATATGTATATAAGTATATATATATATATATATATATATATATATATATATATATATATATATATATATATATATATATATATATATATATATATGTACATATATACATATATACATATATACATACATATATATATATATATATATATATATATATATATATATATATATATATATATATATATATATATATGTATATAAGTATATATATATATATATATATATATATATATATATATATATATATATATATATATATATATATATATATATATATATATCATATATATACATATTTACATATATA